AGGGTACATATTTGATTGGTGCAAAGTAAGATGGTACATATTTGATTGGTGCAGGAGTAAAAGGGTACATATTTGATTGGTGCAGAGTAAAAGGGTACATATTTGATTGGTGCAGAGTAAGAGGGTACATATATAAAAGATGGTCATTCTTTGACGGGTGCAATGGTCCACTTACTTCTGGCTTTTGTTTTGATTTGCTGAAAAGCATTTTCGTATTCCTTTTCGTATTTCGTGTCGTTGAATAATACTATATAATTTTCATATTCTTCTAAATCCTGAACCTCTGCCGAGTATGTGAGCTTGATTCCATTTTTCTTGAATTCTTTCTTCATGTACTGAGTTGTTGCAAGAAACTGATCTTTTCTCTCGGTGATTATAGCCACCTTATCCCAGTTGAATTCATCCAGGATAGCAAGTACAGTTGGCAGGATTTTACTATGCACTGCAAGAGTTCGTGCAAAGGTTGGGTATTCTGTTTTGTTGGACAGTTCGGGACTATTACACATCTAGAGAGAAAAAAGCATTTATTTACATATATATCCATGATAAACCATATTTATTRATCTATTTCTGTATTATTAATCTAATTTAACCTGAGCCATCGTTCACCACTAGTAAGAGGACACCTAGACTTATATAGTTTTGCGGATGCGCAGTGTGCGCTCTTAAGTATAATCATGCGCGAATTCGCGATTCTCCATTCTGAAAAATTTCCGTTCGCAAACCAGAAACGAAGTAGGAAAATAAACGCTTTTCATAATCCATTAAACGTTCTAAACAAGAAAACCTTTTAAATGCTAACAGTACAAGGAATCCATTTAAGTGCTAGAAACCACTTAAACACAGCTTTTGATTTTCCATTAAACGATTATAAAAGATGAAGACCTATTTCAGGCTAAMAGTAGCTGGAAACCCATTTGAGTGCTAGAAACCATTTGAATGCACTGTTCTATTTCGGATGTTCGATCGATTTATCATTTTAAGAGTTCTTYGGCATGTAAAAATACCCGTCTCTTACTACTAGCCGTGTGGCGTAACTAACATGTCTTCACTTTAATTAACACCACTCTCTCGTGATTGTACACACAGCTCAGAACAAACATTACGTCAACTAAACCAATACAAAACAAAAAGATTGACTCAATGTTTGACGGACTCCCGATCAAATCATTTGTGCTGTTGTCGTATTCTTGAAATAGTTGAAATACCAAACGTTTGTAAGGACGGTCCTGATCACTTTCCCATAGTCTACATACATCTAACCTTAGCTCACTTTTATGAACACAGTTTTTGTTTGCCTAAAGTCTATCTTTACAAAGTACACGCTCCGCCAAAGATAAGACTGAAAGCGGACATTTKTTCCTTGTTGACCAGCGAAGAGCGGCCGAGCTACAATTGTAGCTTTGACTTTACGAGGAAAATTTGTCAAGGATGAAAAATATACAAAGCATATCAATAAAATTGCGTCTATTAATGATATTGCTTCGCTAGTTCAACGTCTAGAAAATACAAACGAAATCAACTTCGCAGTTCATTGTTTTCAAATAAAGATAATTAAAAAAAAAACAGAGAGAGTCTCCGTAGTATTCATATAGAAATCGTATGTACTTCAAAACTGCTGTGATAATTGTTTGGTGTGTTAATTCAATGACAAAGTGATTTACGTACTAAAAATAACAAAACTAATTATGATGCAGAGTGAGAGAGAGAGAGAGTCCGGAAACTATGTTGATTAAATGCAAACATACCCCATAGAAAAGTTTTCTTTTTGAGATACACTTTGACGTATATACACCTAATTGGTGAAGATTCGAATTTTATTTGGTGCAAGGATTTAAGTGGCGATTTTCACTCCCCCTTACCCAGCTCAAATGCCAAATGGCAGATTTTCTCGTGTACTAGAATTACAATCTCATTACCAGCAAATTAGCACCCTATCTTCACTTTTCACRGCATTTCATTTTGTTAAAACAACATGGATTAAGGACATCATTGACAAGAAATAACAATTAAAAGAATCTCAAGTCATTCTAGTTGAGTAACAGGATTAATACCCTGAACGACCTTGAACTATTAACGACAATAAACTTCTCTATCCTAGATAAGCCTTTGAACAACAAATGTTTTCTAGAAATGTCTCGGTTTTGGCAGACATCCATCAGTATGTCTTCAAAAAAAGTCTTGAATTCTGTCATATTTAGTATGATATTTGACAATGCCAGAATCGTTCAGTCGGAACCAAATTATCACAAAAGACTCTTTTCAGAAGCTTGGTTTTCTGAACTCGACTRTAACTCGGGAAATTTTAGAACTGTGATACCCGTAGCTTACAGAACAATCATAAGCTCTTGTAAAAATCGCGCGCGCTACCTTTTCAACCCGTACCTTACGCGTGCAAACCATTTGTTACATTACGCACTGAAGAAGGTCAGAGTTCTGACCGAAACGTCTGCGTTCTCATTAAAAACTTAAGCTAGTGAAAAATACTTTTGTTCAGTTTTTATTATGATATTGTTACGATGCCATGTTTTCAAAATACTCATGTATTTGGCGTGAAACATGTTTGTATTATCACGAATCTAGATATGTTTATTGATTTTCAATTAACTGAAGCAAGATCATGTTGTTAAACGTGGTTTTACCATTGTGTCTWAGTTTATGGCTCATTTAGTATGACACATGAATACTCTCACAAACCACGCTTCTCGATACGAACCGGATTATATTCCACATATGGACATTAATGCCTTTGAAATCAGCCCAAGTTTGCAAAGACAAACTGGTTAATTATTTAGATTAAATATTAAAAACAGTCTGTCAAGAATAGCCAATATATACTTACATAAGATATCATTGTCTTGTTAAAGGCTGCCGCGTTTTTGGCGGCCATTTTACATTGACATCCAGGTCCAATAAAGGCAGTGACGTTCCTTTGTATCATGTGAATTTGATGTCTTAATGTAGTGAATTCATCACAGTYCGTGTCTCTCCATTCGAAAGATAGAGTATCGTTAGGGAGTAAGTCTGTTCTGTTGTTGATATCTCGTACGGCGACAGTGATTGCCGCAGCATACTTCATTCCTGCGAAGTAGGAGTTTGAGAAAACTTGCCGAACATTACGGTATGGTATTAAAAGACCAAGTTTGTAATCCTTGCTCTGGACATACCATAAATCCAGGAAGATTAACCCAAGAAATAATAACCCAGATTTCATTCCTACGAAGTTAGCGTCAGTTAAAAGCAAATATGACAAGTTGCTCGAGAACACACTTCTTAATATCCACGGTGCTGTCTAGTGAAGTGTTGCATAGGTCCAGCTATGGCTACGGATGGCACCGCCATCTCAAATGGTTTCCACCGAGGAAGAAGGTAAAATGATGCTTCGATTTCAACACTATCATCAAGTCTGTTCATTTAGTTGATGACTTCTTGCGTGACCTGCGTAAAACAATACATTAGTAACGCAAAGCTAAGTCGTGACATTTCTTTCTCTCTAAGTTTATCATGTATATGTGCTTGGATGATTTGCGATCTTGATTTTGTGCTCGTCTCGAAATCCCTACCTTCCTCGACATTTAATTATTCATAAAAMAAATCACATGGCATAACAAAATCACCACCAGTAGGGCTATTGTTCCAGGTAGACCGGCACGGCTTTCACGGACTACAACATGTGTAGAGAAGRCGGCCCGTATGGYCGTTACTGGGTTCTTAGTWTGGTTTACGTTATATTGATTATTATTTTGATTTTATTTTGACTATTTTGGTATATACGCATCTGTTTATTTAACATTAATTAATCCTGTTTCTAACGAGCCGACATTTCTTATATCCCTGGAAGATAGTTCCCGTTCTCCCTTCATTTCTCTTGTTTTTTCTTTTTGTGATTTTCCTTTCCATTCGATCTCCAGACATTATGTAAAGCTTGCTTTTAGCATATTAGTTTAAGTGCTTATTTCAATGATGGGTTTCAGTCTCGACATATTTCCCATTACTGTCTGTATGCCCGCACACGTTTATTAACCTGTGACCTGGGGTCCCTGTGGAAGATCGCGGGCAATGTTTATGAAAATAACATGGATAATTGACCCCAGCAGAAGATGTATTTGTGCAGCGGATGTTTCCCATGCGTTTCAGCTGTGTGTGCTGCTGTTTACGACCAACCAATCGGTCACATTATTAATAGATTTCCCTGACACACTTAATCATCATTTTTTCTAATCGACTTTGTAATTGTTGTTGTTTTTTATGCCTTTGTTATGATGTTTTTGTTCGTAGTTTTTCTTCTCATTTCAGTTCAGGTTTCATTCTCATTCTATTCCATTGTGTTTCCTCTTTGTATTTATTTCCATTTCCATATTTCCATCTCTTTCTATTCTTCTCTTTCACTTGCGTACTTTTTCTCTTCCCTGTGTTTTTTTTACATGGTAAGTTATTTTCCATAATTTTTGCTCATTGTTTTACATCATGACTGTATAAATTTATTTGAATCATTCATCTCTTTTATCTGTGCTCAGTAAAAGCATGACAAGATCAATACTAACGATCAAGTGATACAGAACGAGGCGGCATGATAAACCTGTTTACATTAAACCAGAGAAAAGCCGGAACCGCTATCCATTATCTAAGGGACCATTGAATTAAAAAATAAGTCCAAAAAACACCATTTCTTGGAACCTTTTTACGCGAAATGTTTAATCTAATCGCCAAGACTCCGCACGAGCATGCGCATTACATGTCATGTATCTAATTTTCTGATGAAAATACGGAAACAAAAATAAACAATTCTGTTGCTTAAAGGTGATCGGGATTGATAGATCCCGTTAATAAGATATATTTTCTTACTTTGTTTACTCAACATAGAAAGACTATTTACAGTAAAAATACCATAAAAGATGGAGGCTGCCCATCGTTTCCGGGAGATCTGATGGAGGCCYAGACTTTGTGTCGTTTTGATAAAATCAGTTGGTTCAAAAAACACATTTGTTCGTTAGTTTCAACAAACATGCCTAAGTTTAGCATAAAGCAAAAAGAAAACGAATSCTTTTCTAATGTTTTTAGTACTTTTTCAAATTTCTTTACAAGCATTCTCAGACCTTATATGGTAAAAACGCTAATTGCTCCAATGCGCAAGGTTGATGCGCAGTGACAAAAGCCATGAACAAACTTAACACTTGAAACGCTGAGTGAATTCATATTGGAATTGCTACAGAAATCAGAGCTKTAAGATGCATTGATATTTGTGCGGGGARCAAAGAAATCGAAACAAACGCGATACGCATCAAGCCTTCCTCTCTCTCTTATTTTCATGTAAAAATCTTGTAGTAGCCAATAGAAAAGCACTTGAGTATGGTATAAATATTGAGCTCTGTTATAATGAAACTGATCAGCAAACTGATGACTAATCGTGGATGTTATAGTAACTAGCATATGCTTGAGGATCGTTGCTTTGTGTTTAACCACACAGTCAATCATTAAAAAATGGATGTAAATGACTTTACGAAGCTCGTTCCCCGTGTAATAATCGACTAGTAATAATCAGCTACTAATGGAYACTGTACCGTTTAATCAGGGTATTCAACTAACCTGGAAAAACGCGGTTCGTTGATGTTACTGCAGGATTAAGAGAGCCTTTCGATGCTTTTCCTCAACGGAAAGATAAYTAAGACRRCATCAATCATATTTTTGCACTTTCACATCGCACTTACGCATAAATTATCGACCTACAACAGATATGAGGTTCATTATTGGCTGTCRACATCCAAACCTTGATAACATTAGTAGTTTACGCCTTGAAGTCATTCATTTCCTTTTATTTCATGATTTTCTTTATTGTTTCCCAGTGAATATTGAAATATCGAGAAGATTGAAGTGGATGGTCGACGAGTTATTCTTTTTGTTGAATTCTATTTTAGATTGCTTTTTTAGATAGTAATAATTACTTCATCTTATATCTAATTATATTTCTAAATGTTTGCATTTAACTGTTGATTGAAGTGATATCCCTGGCTACTTGTAAAACTATCATCAATCCAATGGTTCTTCATAGTAAATTACGCAACACTATAGCGGGTGAGAAATATGAGCTTTTTCTAAACCAATCAGATTGTCAAGTTGGTTCTCAATAGCAGGCCGACGTGATTGCTTTAAGTGATTTAGGCTTTAATTAATTTTTAAATTCAGAAGTCTTAAGTGCTACCCTGAGGAAAAAAGATATTTTAGTAAATTTTATTGTTTGTCGCAATTATTTTTTTCAAACTGATTCATTTAATACAGGCAGTTGTTCTCGTTTTATTGAAGAAAAAAACTAGAGAGCAACATGATTGGACTTCATGATGATCACGGAATTGCTGTAGGAAAGCAATAGACACTTCTACTGTGAATATTAACTTGCTGGCACCTAAAAAACTACATCAATAAGGAATATAGCAAAAATAGATTTTATGTTTAGTTGACTTATATTATTGAAAGCCATTATCTGTTCGCATAATATTGAAAAAACTAGCTTTCGTGAGACCTTATTATATTCGAGTTTTATTTAATGACCGTCTTGAGAAATATCACAAAACAAACACAGACTTAACTCCTGAGCTGCGTCACAAGTGATATTTCTCTCCTCATTGATGGGAACTATATATCAATTACTAAATAGATACTATACTGGACGAATATTAAATACACGAAGAAAAGTCTTCAATAATTCATTACATGGTTCAGCCTGTTTCTCTGATGACAAAAACCTATTCTTCTCTTGATGTTTAGAATTAGCACTCGGCTATGCATCATGTTTTGTTACTCTAAAAATAGTTTCCTAACCACTTCTGTCTGACAGCTCAYGTCYTCTAGTTTGTTGGACATAAACTTTTGAAAAATGTCATCTCGAAAACTTCAATACAATAAATCAATGGTTTTGAAAATGAGAGCTACATCACATTGTAAACACACAATCCCATTTACCATGCGTTCTCTATCACGTGATTTCCTGTAGATGAAAGCAAAATAATTGATGGTCGTTACAATCGCCAGAAAATGTTAGGAAGATGGAATCTAAACCAGCGTAATCGTTTCAATAATCCCTTTTTACAAAATGGCCGTCTTTATTAGTATGATTTTTCTTTTCAATTCTAGACGAAATGAACTAATAAATACTTAAGAATAAAACTTACAAGGAAGCCCTGCAAACGCTCGAAGGTAGATATATGAATGTTGATATGGCTGATACCACAGACATACGTTTCTCTGTAAATGTCTCTTTCTGAATGATTAATATCTCTGTGCGGGTTAATTTTTATTGGAACTTCTCTGGATTTTTACACAGCTTATAAGTGAAGGACAGTGAAGGATATTCTTTGGTATTTCAGGRATCTTGTTTTACTAAGCTGAAAAATATGCTAAAATGAACAGCGCCCATTTTAAYAAATGGTTTACGTTCACATCCATACATTTTCCGGATTTTTGTCAGCTGGCTTACAAATAAGAAATTCCGAAAAAAAGAATCTATCTATAACATTCAAATCTTTGATTGCTTTATTAAATACTGATGAATATAAACAAGCCTCGAGGAATGCTTCTGATTGGACGGATTGTTATTTTCACCGGTGAAAAGATAAAGTTTTATTTCTTCCTTACATTAAGTGAAAGTCCGTTATTTATATAGTAAATATATAAACATGGAAGAGCTACCTCCCCAAAGGTCTGTCTTTATTGATCCGCTTAATGTTGTTAATGTAGAAAAAGGAAATGTAATTGTGAAATTAGTCGGTAATGACAGCCAATGGTACTAATGACTTCTACTCTAGATTACATAATGATGGATTTGGCTTATAGTCTCGAATTTCCATCGTAAACAGAGTATGTGTTTATTGTCAGGTTGCTCGTTGTTATCTTCATGTTGGATAATGCATTCCGGCGTTAGTTTTTCTTGCTCATTCATCCAATATGGCGTCGACAGCGTATTTTTCATGGGTTCTTGATCATGTTATTGCACCTCAAGAATTGCTTTATTTTTGCAGGGAAATATATTTTGCGTGGGAGCAATCGAACACCCTCACTACGACTCCGCATGGTAACGAGGCCGAACGCCGTGGTTAAACTCCTTGCCATTTTGCCACACTTACGAAAAAAACTAAGTTTCTGGTAGGATTAGCAGCCATGAAAACACACATACACAAACAAGGAAAAGCACTGAAAACCACGTGTTTTAGATCTGAAACAACTTTACTGTTGCTTACAAATTGGAATTTTTTAATTGAAAGGCCTAACAGTGCATGCGCAGTTGCTGTCATGAGGGTTTTTTTTTTGTTGCCATAGGAACGCAAGGTAACATGGAATCGGGAGATAAATGTGAGTGGGAAGTCTCGAGTGTTCCTTATAGTTCTATTCGTGTTCATTTGAGATGGTCGACTGTTGTTGATATCCCACAGACTTTCAATACAACACCAACGTTGCAATATGTCTCTAATCA